CCTCTCCCTGTTCCTCAAAATCTAGGGTTGGCAACGGATCCGCATCAGAGACGTAACGGATGTCCATGGAAGACGGTGACTTCTGCCAATCAAGTAAGCCATCTAGTCGTTTTCCACCTTTAACATAAATATATATATTACATTAGCTAGCTGCCCATAAAAGTCCCGTCAAAATCGGTCCCGCCATTACGGAGATTAGACGGAATAAACAGGCAGACAGGCAAATATTGTAAAAAAAAAAAAGTTTTTGATGTATGCACTGTACTCGTATATACATTGTTATTAACTCCTAAACGGTTGAACCGAAGTAAATGAATTATTTTGTTGGCAATTGTGGGGCGGAGCTGTGGACGAAACTGAGTACATATACATGATATAAAACAAACTTTGTTACAGAATGCAAAATTGACACAAAATTAATAGTTGATTTGATTTTCTCAAATCTTTTTTCCCAATTAACATTACGTAATTAACTATAACACTATCTATTTCCTTGTCTTTGTCTTCATTCTTCCATATGAGTAACCGTTTAACCTAATATAATTTCTTATTATAATATTTATCCAGTACCGATTGCATCGATGCATACGACAAACAGTGAGTCAAAAAAAATTTAAATATATATTTTGTCGCATATTTTCAATTTATACATAGATACATTTATATAAGCGTTTATTTTAACATTACAAATTTTATTTTATTTATAATCATAGGCGAATAATAAAATCTATTTAATATTTCAATATGTATTCTTTGGAAAATGAATGGAATTGAAATGATTATATTGAAGTTAGTAACAGTTTTATTATCTTAAATAAATTTCTAATTACTTAATTAATAAGTATTATATAAAGTAAATAAACTATTTTTTATCAGAACTACATATTTCCAAACAAATAATGCTTGAAAATATTTAAAAAACTTAATAATATTTTTAAAGGTTTCTCTCTATTAACTTAAACCAACTAATTTTAAGGCAATTTTATGTAGATTTAAAGTTATTCTAAATATATCCTAAAGATGGCGTTGAGCATGTATAAAACGGAAACAAAGAAAAAATAGTTCAAGAACAAACTAATAGAATAAGTAATCTAACATAAGGCAGTAGACGGGCGAGTATCGAGTGGCGTAGGATCGTTGGTATATATTCTTATTATTCTTTAGCTAACAGAATTAATCTCTAAAATAATCCGTAGGAACTTATCTCGGCTGAGCTTAGTATTAAGTTAATAGACGTCGTTTAATTTACTCTCACAAGTTAATCGCGAACTTGAGATATTTGTTCGTAATTAGAAATGTTTCCCAAACTCCAAGCTGTTCTTGTGAGTAAATTTGTTAAGTACCTTGTCGCTGAGTTGCCCTTGTATCATTGGTTAACTTGTAAGAGTCAATTTGTGAAATTATACAGGAGATACGATCGGATTTAAAATTTAAATTTATGTACTGTAAATTCAAAAATATACAGACTTCCTACTAATGTATGGATGTCTGTATGTTTGTTGCTTTTTATCTCAAAAACTACTTTATTGATTTAGATGAAACTTTAAATTAATACAGTTAAGACATTAAATAAGACATAGATATAATTATACCAAAAATTTCCGACTATTTATAGCAGGAGCAAGCAAGTTATATGCATTGTGTATGTTGTCACGTGACGCAACTTGTACATAGACGACGCTACTGATAATATTTTCAGATATGTAAAGCGATTCATTATATTATTTAACATTTAACCCGACAATTCGGCTGACTTAAAGCAAACGTGATTACGGGCACACGAGGTAAAAGGGTCAGATATTTTTATCTCCATTTAAATGAGTACTCACAAAAATCTTGAACTTCATTATCATAATTTTAAAAACTTTAAATATTTCTCTCTGCACATGAAGAAATAGCAGATAACAAATAGGCGATATGTTTGTTTTGACTGATAACGAAATTTGTATAAAAACAAATTGACCTTATATCGGTTTATATGAAAACATTTTTGATTACAATCAAAATTACCAAAAAAAATTTCCTTATATTAACATCCAATACCTTTTTCTTTGTTTTTCACATGAATAAAGTTTTCAAACTCATAAATATTTCAAGAAAACAGCTACCATAGCCTATTTATATTGGGTCTTTCTCGCAAAAACTTCAGACTGATTTTGATGATCCTTTCCAGCTAATTCTGTGGCTTCGTATGAAGTGATAGGCGCTGACAGTTGGTTAGGTATTTGAAGCCATACATTTGAGAACTGAAAGAATTTTCAAAATAATTAATACGTTGTATCACTGTACTATACAACTTATGAACAACGTTGTTAAAAGATAATGATAAATTCAGCTGATTTAAGAACACAGATAATAATAACAGACCTTTTAATTTAAAGTAAATATATTCATAAAAAGGATTAATATGAAATATTTACCATATATGTAGTTATTGCAAAAATAAAGGGTAACAATCAAAAGAAATGTTTGATTATAAATAGTCTGAGTCAATAATTTTTTAAAACTCAGAGACAAATAAATACTTGTAATACTCATTAAAGACAAATATTTCTCCACGAAACTCATTTTTATAATCTACTATTAAGGTTTTGCTGGTTTTACTCATTACTATAAGAAAATATTTTTTCAATCATAAAATAAATCTACATAGGACTGTTAATGATTTTATCAGTGCTGAGTTTCTTAATAAATATTTTTACATTCAAATGATGTTAAACTAGTCGTAATTCCAAAGTCGTTTGTGATGTAACAAAATGTGTGATATTATGTTGTTTCTAATTATATACTATATTAATTAAATGTTTGAATCAAAATGTATCGCCGGTCTTATTAAACAGGGAAGTGACTAATTGATTAATAGTATTAATTAAGGAATTGTTAAATATTGCTGTATTTATCTAAACCAATCTTAAATGAAACTTAATTAAGGTAATGAATTTTAAAAAATTACCTCTTTCTGAAAGGCCGGCAACGGACTCTGGTGCCTTCTGGCTCAACGAGTGTTCATGGATAGCGATGACCATTTACCATCAGATGGCTAGCCTCCTCGTTTGCCCCCTATGATATATAAAATATATAATACATATAACAATATATTATTTATAATTATTGCTTTAAATCTGGCATTAGGTTTTATATGTGTTAATATTTATTTTAAGGTAAAAGACACGTAAGTCTATTATAAAAGGGTCTCGTTACTTGTGTTTCTTCTATTATGAAAAACGTCTTGCTAATATTACTCGCACGTTTTCCTAATATATTTTGAAATAATATTATCAGATAATACATGTATAATGATGTTATCAAATTTCTTGGAGAAATTTCTTATTACTTTATATTAGGCAACAATTTTTTTACAAAGGCAGTGATTTATTTATCCAAACGGCAGTCATTTTGATTAAAAGAAATGTTTGATTGTAGTAAATTAAAAGTATTTAAACTAGGAATTTAAACTAAAATATAAAGTTGTAAAAAGTTTATAAAATTCAATAAAAAAAATATTATAGCGTAACTATTTAAGTTGGAGAGATTCTTGAAGAATTTAAATAAGCTTTTTAATGAAAACATTTTAGTTACTAAAATTAAAATATAAAGTTTTCCGGAATCCTTAAACCTTGTGCCTATGTTAACTGACGTTTTACTAAAACGTAACAGTTTATTTCAAGAAGTAAAGAATATAAAATAAACAGTAATTTGAAGCACGCCTTATAGAAAAACATGCAGTGATTTTACTTAAAAATTAACTTAACAACTAAGAACAATAATTTACATGTGAATATTTCTTGTTTTGATTCAGAAATATATTTTAAAATATTATTTATAATATTGGAATTCATTTAATTTGAATTAATATAATGAACAATATCATCATCGTACCAAAATTTAACCATAAAATTATAAGATTTTGAAGATCTGGTCATATTACTATTCTAGACAGTGTTGTGTTATTAAGAAACTGAGATATAAATATTGCTTGCTGTGACACCATATACATTAAGAATATTCTTCGTTATTTCCCTTTCACCTTCCTTTTTCTGGTCTGGTTACTTGCCTCAAGTGACGTTACAAACTAAATACAAAATGACAGGCATATTAATTATAAGCCATAATTACTCGACTATTAGACATAGGCCTTTTCAATAGTATCTGCTCTAGATCTCTTTAGTCTAAAATAGTAAACATAAATTCAACAGCTACAAATAAACAGATTTAAATCAGCACTAATCAATACTTCTAAATACGCCTTGATCTCGTATCATTTAACTTTATATAGTAATCTAAAAAATTTTGCTTGATTCGTAAAAAGATAAGTGTTCTATTAATAACAATAACATATAAAATACAAATCATAGCTTTTATATATATTATAACTTGCACTAAAAAAACAATTAAATGAATGTGCTAATTATCTTCATGAGATCTTTAATTGTTATTATGTTCCAGTATTTTTTTTTCTGAATAACTGTGTGACGTTCGTAAACATGTTTCTGCATATTTAAATGCTATGGCTTTGTCCTTTGTACCTAATAATTTGCCTCGTTTAGACAAGAATATATAACTAGCAGTTGTTGTTCTGATAAAACGTGCAGACCCCTAATTGGTTTGAACGCAATTTGTACAGTCTTTAACTAGCCATACTGATTTCTCGGAACAACCCGGACAGGCAGTAAGACAGAAAAACATGTTAAAAACTGCTACTTATATTTTTCTAATATTAATAACTTATCATTGACACGGACATATTTATATTAAAATAGAAATGAAACACTTAAATTCTTTCCTTATATTTATAGTTACACTTTAAATAATATATGTGTTAAAATAAATTACATACTTTCATACATACTCCACAGAAAAAGTCTGTTTAATATTAGCAAAATAAAAATTTGTATAAAACGCTGCCCAATATTATAAATCTGAGAAAATTTTATAATTTTTTATTTTACATACATACATGTCTTACTAAGTATTTTATTTATTTTAGTATACACATTCTTTTATTCACATTCCGTTCTCGGGATGAATTCAACGTACACTGGCTCGCCTGGTCCTAAGAACAATCCTTTAGATTCAACCTTTACGTCTTTTGGTTTTGGTGCACCAGGAATAGGTTTGACCTTGTATTTAAGGAACAACTGAGCTGCAGCTGTTCGGGCAGACATATAAGCAAATCTTTGGCCTGAAATAAACAATTAATAACAATTACACATAGTATGAACGTTTATGGGAAGAGTATTGAAAATAATAGTAATAGTTATGTTCATAACTAACCTATGCATACTCTTGGACCATCTCCGAACGGCATATATGTATACGGTTCGATGTTGCCTTCGTTTTCTGGTAAAAACCTATCAGGATTAAATTTGTAAGGTTCTGGAAAGTATTTGGGGTCATGGTGCATACCGATAGCATTCACATAAATCACTGTTCCTGCTGGGATAGTTAAGTTCTCATCGATATTGTAATCGGTAGACGCTATTCTGTCAAGCCAACCCATTGGTGCATATTTTCGCAGAATTTCTAAAGAAACATAATAAATTAATTTGAATAGAAAAAGACGCGATTAACCCCACGTATAGAATACTATTATAGAAAAATCAAATAAAAAGGTATACCTTTGAAGACACAGTTGAGGTACGTCAAATCTGTCAAGGTCTGGGCATCGAAATTTGCTCCACTTTTACTTTCGGCTTCCTTCAATTCTTTGTATAGTTTTTCCTGGCATTACAAATTAAAAGAGATAAACCTTTATCATGTATATTTATATTGGTTATTGTTTATATTTATACCTGACGCTCGCTATCATGGGCAAGTTCGTACGTCATGTATGTGAGAGCTGAGGCAGTAGAGTCGAAACCTCCCAGAAGAACAATGGCTGCTTGGGCTAGATAAAGATCATCGGGGTAGTCTGTAATACCAAATTAACGTCAATACTTAATGAAAGATGTCAGTGGATTGAATGAAGCTAATTTTATTTACTTTGATTTTTTTCTTCGCTCTCTTTTCTAATTTCTATTAAAGCATCTACTAAATCCTTGTATTGTTTGCTGCCTGGATGTTTGAGACGTTGGTCCATTATATTTAAGTAAATCTTTTTAAAGTAATCGGTTGACTCTTTTGGAAAGAGGCTAAACCTAAAAATATATAAATACTTATTTAATATACCATTTTATTTGCATATAAAATCAAACAGTTATCTAGCTGAGCGATAAGTTACCTGAATATATCGACCAAATCTGGCCAAAAAAATATACTAAACCAACAAAGCCCTCTATATACGCTAAACCTCATGAAATCATCCGTAACTTTTCTTAGGGGGCCCTTGGAAGTGAGCGTTGCGTTACTCTCAAGTCCGAAAGCAAATGTTCCAATCACATCTGTCGTGTAATCAACAAAAAGAGTCTGAAACATTATCTTGCTATAAGGATTTTAGAGTTAACAGAAACCAGTGATAGGCACAGCAATCAGGTTTATGGTTACATACCTTGAGTTCTAGACTTTTGTTCCGATCTCTATCCACTCTCTGCACGAGTTCTTTAGCTTTAACTAAGGCAAAAGCTTGAACAAATCTTAGTTTAGCTGCAGTGAACAGATTTGTCAGTTTACGTCGTATATTTGACCAATCAGGGTCCTGGAAATATTGAAAAAATAACAATGTAATATAAAATTAATGAAATACTCTCACTACTAACTGAAGTTATACCTACATTGATGGTAAATATATTTAATCCTCCGATAGGATCGGTGCTTCCAGAACTCAAATATCTGTCTCTAAAAATCGTATTATCTTTAACTAATATTCGCCGAGCAATATCTGGGTCGTTTATAATTAAAGCTGGTTTCCATATTAACCAGATTCCTATGTACGGAGATTTGAATTGTTCATACATCTCACGCATCCATATACCCTGAAAATATTATATTTAACGATTTCATACTTTATAGAGTTCAATAAAACACATTATCTTATCTCCTAGATTTCAAAAGTAATAAGTTAATGTAATGTTTTCACAACATTGAAAATTTTCATTAGAAAAATATAATTTAGTTATTGAAATTTTTGTATACTTACCACATTTTTTCTTTGCATAAAAGTAAGACTACCGAGGAATGGGTTTGGTGGAGAGTGGGGTACTCCGCGCTCGGCCCAATAATTCTTTACTTTATTCCATCTCAAAATAAGATATGCCGAAAAACATGTCGTTAAAGAAAATAATAAAAATAGAATGGACATCCTAGAAGAGAAAAAACAAGTAATAAACATTTAAATTTCACAGTTAAACACTTTATCTGTAAATTTTCAGTACGTTTCCGTTTGAAAGGTCAAATTATGTGACATTTAAATTATATTAAAAAATATTGTACAAAATTGCAACTTAGTTTTTCGTCTATTATAAATCTCTATTTCACTATATTAATTTTATACCAAGATTAAATCTAGTCTTATTGTTTCTGACCTTAAAAACATTGTAATATAAAATCAGTTTTACAACAACAATATTATTAACTATATTTCATTAAATTAAAAATATTCCTAATAGTCCTTCATCAATTAAAGTGTATTTAATATACATTTTCATGAATGACTTCATAAAATAAAAAAAAGCCTAACATGCCTTACAGATTTTCGGAAAGAGCTGATATTCTTACACTATCGGGCTGATATTAACCAAACACAAAAAAAAATATTCAAAAGACAGTTATACACATATACATTGACGTCAAGCTTACAAAGTTATAACCCTCGTTTTACATCACGTGTTAATAAAGAGATTACAAAGCATAACAAAATAAAGAAATAATTTAATTTAAAAAAATATCTCATGGTTCTCTTAACCCTTTTTTTATTTAATAACATTCAGAAACAGTGAGTATCTTTATTTAATAATATAAAATTGGGTCACTTACGTTTTATAAATGAAATATTGTTTCTTTATAACAAAGGAAATACAATATATATTTTAACCATAAATTTTGAGCATGAAAATTCACTTTTTGATAATAATAAATCCAGAAAACAAGATTAATTTCAGCACTGTCAAGTTTATATTTTAGTACACATTTGAATGATTGATGCTGTCTTTAAATGTAAGCGGCAAGTAAGTCTAAATATTTGATATTTAATCTTTATATAGTCACTCTTGACCTCTAACTGCAGTAATAAGTTATAAATTATAAAATCATTACTTCGTTACATGTGTATTATCTTGAGACCGGTTATTGTGTCATTTGTTTAACACACATAATATTCTTTACAAGCATCTTATCAATTAGTTTTACTGTTTACTAACAAAATATTTTCTGATATTCTGTTATCACTACAAATGATGCCGTTTCAAACCAGCCAATTATTTATAATAGTAGTATTTTTGTACTTGTTATATAATTTATAAGATAACAATTTGATTCTACAAAAGTATATAACAGAGAAAAAAATATTGAAAGGATTAAGTTTATGTGAAGTTACTTTGGTTGGAGAAATATAACACCGAATATATTTTATAGGTGATAAGGTCTTTAAAAAATTACTTACATATGAAATAATAACACATTAAATTACTTATAATTCACTAGTCACTAAATCTCGAGTTTTTTTTAAATCATTGACTTTGACAGATCGAATGATATAAACCTTTTAGAAATATGCAATATAGAGGTTATTTTTCAACTACCCACATATTAGAAACTGTGTCGTAGTAAAGAAATGTTCAAATTATAAAATTACTAGCTTTCCGCCCGCAGCTTCGCCGCGTGGAGTTCGGTTATATCGCGTTTCCAAGAGAACCTTTCAAAAGTCTGGGATAAAAACTATCCTATGTTCTTTCTCAAGGTCAACTCTATCTCTGTACCGAATTTCATTAAAATCAGTTCAGTGGTTTAGGCGTGAAAGCGTAGCAGACAGACAGACAGACAGACAGACAGAGTTACTTTCGCATTTATAATATTAGTAGGGATGAAGTAATTAAATTTGGACAAGAGAATCATTTACACCTACGGATCACTACAAAGTGAGAACGTATTGAAGATCTTGACTTTTTTGCTAAATAATATTCAATAAATAGAAATTTAATTGTAACAACAAAATTTTGAAAAAGTTACGTTACTTTAAGAAGCAAATATATTATATTTACACAAATATTTTTATACATATACTAGCTGACCCGTTGTTTTGCCATATAAAGAATAGGGATTGGTGATAAAAAAGTAAAAATCTGTCCAGTCGTTTCGGAGCAGTTCTCTGTCTGACAACGCGACACGAGAATTTTATAGATATAAGATTTACATACATATACACATATTCTGAGTAAAAACATTAAACGTCTTTCTATGGTTACCTGATACTTAAGAATAGAATTATGAATAAAAAAAATCCTTTAACGAGGCGGATTATCCATTTTATAGTAAACAAAAAAGGCACTTCAAGAAGTGACTTTTTATAGCCATAGAATTGTTCTGTCAGTTGAAAATTTTGTAACAAAAAATCATGAATTTAGTGAGTAAAAAATCGAATCCTAGGGAATAAGGATTATATATAAAGAAATTAGTGGAAGAAAGATTTATCGATAAACTAATTTTTTATTAGGACTGTACCTAAAGTAAGATAATGAAGATATCTGATCAAACTTAGAGCCACAGAATGAACATGTGACATCATATACTTATACGGGTCCAAAAAACGAGATCGGAAGAAAAAACAAACAAATTATTGTGGCAAATACCGCAGTCTTCATAAAGCAAGAGATAATAAAAATAGTGAATACTTTTAATATGAAACACAAGTCTAAATTATTTAGTAGTATTTCGATATGATGGTAACACAAGATATACCAATCTTTTTATCAGAGCACTTGGCACTGAAAGATTCTAAAATTCATTTCATTTCTCGAGACGAAGCCCAAACTAAAACGTACTAGTTTCGTTGTCCTGCACATGGTAAGTTCTGCTTGAAAAAGGACAAATTGTCGACACTAAAACAGGAAAAACCGAGAAGCAGATTCAAGAACCTAAAAAGCTCTGAAAATTATTATTTACTAATTAAAGTATCATTACGTTTTCATATCGTATTTTTGGTTCTATATAATGTAAGATTTTTGTTTATAAGTAATTTTATTGTTCAGACTAATTAATTATTTATCAATTTAAACAAATTAATGATAACCAGTAGTAGGTATGCATGGTGTGTCATTAAAATAGAACAATCTCTCTTCAATCAGACTTTAACTGCTACTCAAGCACAAGAATTTACAAGAATAAATAAAAAAATTATCGTCACACAGCAAATATCCCCTATGAATCATTATAGTCAATATATTAGTAAATAACATTGTTTTTTAATATCATATTCCACTAAATGTACAAAATTTTATGTAAATGAACAATTACAAATAGTTTACTACTAATTCATTAAGTTCTTACCGACATTATCTGATTTAAAATATTTCACAGAAACAATGATTCTAACAGAAAGTAGTATTAGTTTCAATAAACCTATACCTCTATTTATTACCGGTTACTGTAAGAACAAAATGGTGCCTTAGTTTTTGTTAAAAATATACTCATAAAAATATACTAAAGATTGAGGAATTGAAAAGAGATCATGCATCACGTTTAAAAAAGATGCTATAAATTTTATTTTATTATGTATTTTCCGTTCATTAATGCTTTTCATTTAATAATGTACCTAGATTAATATAAGCATACCCATTGAAAAGCGAAAGATATCAATTAAAAAATTAATTAATCTATACAAATAAGTAAAAAAAAATGAAATATTCCTAAAATATCATCAACACATTATGCTTTATTTCCCGGTAATAATTTGTTTTACAAAGCAAAAAATTATTTGAGTAATTCAAAACTTTAATTTAATGAATGTAAAATAAATTTAAATGCATTTATTGATATTATATGAAGTGTATTAAGGACGCGAAACAACATTGTTATCATAAACAAACATAATACACGATAATAAGTTAATTAAACTTTATCTAGCATTAATGACCTCTTAGTACACGATGATCATTCAAAACAAAAACTTAAAAATTACCTTTATATGAAGATCCACAGAAAACAGCAATCAAAAAAAAGACGAAAAGAAACCTCGTGTGTCTAAAAAATAGAAATAACTGACAAAAAGATGTGGCAGAGATTCACATGTTTGTCATGTTTAAAATAAGTTTCATTAGATAAAAAAACTATTAAATTTAAACGAAGATATCATATCTAGTTATAACAGTCGTCAGTTACAAATAACAAACTAATGTTGAGATACATATAACATATAACAAATGATGAGGACTAAACAGCAGATCGAATGCCGTATGTTGAATTTTCTCCAGTTTACTTTTTGGCACAGAAGACCAGTTATAGTTTCATAGAAGATTAGAGCAGAATAAAAAAAAAAGGTTTTGGATTTTTATCATCACGTAAAATACAAAGTTTCGGTTACTTTACATCAACTGTATTCACCAACAGAGAGATGTGAGAGAGATGAGTGCTTCACACAAATCTAGATTTCTCATAACAGAAAAACAATTTACATTTCTACAAGAAAATGTTAAGGTACTAGTGAGCCGAATTGACTGGGAAAATCATGAAGGTACAATATTTTATTTCTTCCCAACTAGGAAACTTAACATTGGTATTGAATAAAGGTAAAAGTTCCAACTCTCGGTGACTACTTGCAGAAAAAATATATTCTCAATCTCTATTTCCTCGATCTTAGCATGCACGATTGTAAATTTGTTCATAAAGTTTTCATTAAATATCACGTTGAACGTTCTATACATATGCAAGTAGGTTTTGAATTTTATTTCATTCCATAAATGCTTCCCACTGAAGACTATTAAATGTTTATTGGTGGCTTAGAGACCAAGTTTCGACCCCATTTTCATCTCTGCGGCCATTACAATACGCAAGAATAAAATTTATTTTGGTGTGACAGTAATTAGGATGGAGTAGACTTACTTTATTTGTTTTAAAAATTAATTAAAAGCATTAGTTATAACTTATAAGCTTTGATATTTATTATATATTTAATTTTTTTTTTTTTTTGTTAAATTCATCGTTATTATTAATTGGATTCGTGTTTATTCAAAGTAAATGTATTGACAAGCCTGAGGGGATCAAATATATCTATTATTTTAAATGTCTTTGATAAAACATACTTTACTATATTAATTTTCTCACGATAGAACTCACTAAGTTTAAAAATATAAAGTTTTCCACAATACTA